TAGTGATCTGTCTGTTCAAGCCTCCCAAGAGCTGGAATTACAGGCTTGCACCACCATGCCCAGTCTCAATCGCTGTCTCAGTGTGCCTTGGGGGCGGGGCTGGCATGGCAGGCCTGGGGATCAAACCCTTGGCCTCTGCACCTGCTTACAAGCACATTAATCCACTGAGCTATTTGGCTGGCCCTCATTTTTTTCTTTCCTATAATTACTCATTAAAATACTTAAGGCAATGAAGGTTATTGTATTTCATGTTGTGTGGAATTTGGGAAACATTTCCCAAGGGCAGAAGGTTGGACATGCTATCTGTCCAAGCTGTGGTGCTCTGCACACTGCTGACAGGTCCTGTGGACTGCTGGGGTCCTGTGATCCATATAGGGAGGTGGGGTGTGTCCCTCCTCCTGCGTGGAGTCTCCCAGATGAGAATGGGTCCTTGTGCGCATTTCCAGGGAGCTGAAAACCTCTCCAACAAGCCAGAAGCATTTTAATGACTGCTCTGCTTGTCAAGAGCTCTAACTAAGCCATTTCATTTGAAATCTTCTCTCTTGTAGAAGCCATGAGTGTGGCCAGGGCTTGTTTTCAGGGCCTCCCACCATGCGCAGATTCTGCAGCAGTGAGTAGAGCGTGTTATTCCTCCTCCATGGGGATGTTCTTCAGCATTGTCACATAGTGTTCACAGAGACTTGGACTTGTGGTGACCTGGCCCAGAGAGCCTGATCATTTTTTAGGGTCCCAGGGGACTGTCCTCTGCCTAGAAACTCACTTATCTTCTGGAATTTTGTAAATTGGATGCTTGTGACTTTTTCAGAGCTATAGCGAAATTCTTGCTAAGTGGGGGTGAGGCTCAACATAATACTAAGGAACTTGGCCAGTTTTCAGCATAAAAGCTAGCCTCTGATAATATCAGAGTAAGAAACAGACTCCCCCAGCACTGTGTGCTGCACAATAGCAGAAAGGGCTCAAGGAAATGGGGATAGGAGTCTCAAGGTCTCTGAAGTAGTGTGACAGATTGGGGAACAACAGAGCCAACTGTAGATCACCAGAGGTGATGAAAAGAAAAAGAGATCGCTGTGGGTTTGGTCACCACATTAGATCATCAGGAGGACTTGAATTATTCTCTACAATTTTTTTTTTTTTTTTTTTTTTTTTTTTGGTATTTTTTGGGAAGGGTCTACAGGGTATTCAAGATCTCACTACTAGATCAGACTCATAGTTATCTGCCTGTTTACAGCCTCCTAAGAGCTGGGATTATAGTCTCAATTGCTGTGTCAGCGCACCCTGGGGGCGGAGCCAGCAAGGCAGGCCCGGGGATTGAACCCCCAGCACCTACACCTGCTTGCAGGAGCTTTAATCTGCTGAGCTACTTGGCCAGCCCTTGCTATTTTTTTTTTAATAATTTCTTGGCGATGAAGCTATGGAGAGTGATCAAAGTAGGCTTTTTCAAATAGTGTTCCCAAAGGACCCTTGGTTTTGGTAATCACATCAGAAGTGAAATTAGAGCTTAGACTGTATCAGCTGTGGTGCAATTTATAGATTACTTAAAGTTGATGGGAGTGTTGTTTCCAAAGAGTTTTGCTTTGTCTGCTACCGTTATTGTATACATCTATCCCACCCCTTCATTGGTTTTCAAGTGTAATTAAGAACCTCATCAGAAAGCAAATGCTTTGCCCACTTCCAGTGGGTTAAAAAAGATACTTATATTTTGTTTTGGAAAGAATCCAGATAGACACAACACTGAAGAAAAAAAAGAAAAAAAAAAAGAAAAAAGAAAACTTAGGCATAAATTACCTAAATTCTCACCCATAATACTGTTATCCTGCTACTGATGAAGCAGTTTACAACTTTTCCCCCTAACATCTATGCTCCCAGTGCAAACTAGAAATATTTTTTAGTAAGTTTGGTTACTATTGAAACCGAGTTTTGCAATTTAAAACATTACTGAAGCGTAGTTAGTTTGTGGACTAAAGAACCTGAACATTTCAAGCAATGTCCAAACTTGGAACTGCGTGAAACTCAGCCATTTGTTTTCCGAGTCTCTGCAAAACTTTGTATAGCTGCCTGATGTTGTTGGTGGATTTTCCAGTGGAAAGTAGAAGGTTTGATGTGTGACTGTCCCTGCGTGTGGTTGGTGGTCAGTATTTCCTCTTTCTGACAGATGAAGACTGGCAGGAGAAAGTCCTTCTTTTAAAGACTCCTCCTCCCACTGTCTGTGCTACTGAAGAGTCACCAGGTTGGACAGAGGGAGCTTTGCCAGGGACCCTGGTCTTGTTCCCACTCTGCACGGTGGCTCAGAGCATTGGCCCGGTATTTGATTGAGTAGTTTGAAAGCAGATCTTAGAAGGCCCAAAAGCTTCCTCCTCTGTGTTCCTTTCCCCTGTGTGTATCACTGTTGGACAGCTGGTACATGACCTGCATGTGTGCCCTCAATTTTTGCTGGTCCTCTGTGCCACATGACACCTGGTACAGTGCCCTGGCCACACCAACTCCTGGCTGTGTCACTCAAGAGCCTGGTACATCTCTGCAGCTGTCACCTAAGGTTCTGTACATCTCTACCTCAGGTACAGCCACATGGACCAGGGTGCTAGCCCAGGGAAACAGCATCCCCCTTAAATCAGGAAGACATTTCTGTTTACACAGCTCCCTTTTGTCAGTTCCCATGGTACAAGACACTGCCATGCTCTCAGCAGTGCGGGGGGTGGGGGGGCGGCGCGGCATCACAGCACCCAGTTCCCTGTTGTCTGGGGCCACTTGTCTCCTTGGTGACTGCCCTCGTTCTATGGTTGTTTCTCTCTTTGCTACTGGGGTGAGGGCAAACATATGAAAGAAAGGATATGCAAAGGTATCGGACTTGTTCTCGTTTTTTAAAAAAATTCTGGCCTGGTGTGCTGGTATATGGGTGTAATCCAGCTACTTGGAAGGCTGAAGCAGGAGGATGGCACTCTCAAGGCCAGGTTGGGCAACTTAACAAAACTCTAACTTAAAATAAATAATAGATTAGGAATGTAGTTCAGTGGTGGAGTGTTTTCCTTCTGTGCACAAGGCCCAAGACCCTGGATTCCATCCCCAGCACCCAAAACAAACTCTATTAAGAGATATTAAGGAACTTAAAACTGGAACTTGAAATTAGATTTGAGTATGATCTGTGGATTATGTTCCTGACTCATTAATAGATACTTTCCATAATCAAACCTTCCTATTCTTGCTCAGGAAGATAATTACCATTAGCAGAGTGAAAGAGAAGACTCCCCTGTTAGTTTTTCTGCAAAAGACTTTTTCTTATGCACTGAAGAATCTGTCTTCTTGGAAACAGTATGTTCTAGTAGAGAGAGCCAGGGATCAGATGGACCTGGTTTTAGATGCCAGCTCTTCCACCTCAAGCTGTTTGAGGTGGGAGAAAGTACTGCTGACAGTTTTGTTTTCTTGCCTATCAGAGGAATGTGCTGTGAGAGTTGTGGAAGGGATTAGAGTAGAATGTGTCAAGGAATGACCAGCTGTTATGGTTTGTGTCTAGTTGTCCCAGCAAAGCCTCATGCAGTTATGAGGTTTCTGGAGTTTGTGATTATTGTGGGTGTGGGTACTGCACTTGCCCTTGGGTAGGTAATTTGCATTACAATATAAGGAGGGGAGAGAAGCTAGCTAGCTGCTTGAGCTGCTGCCACTCCCTTTGCTCTCTTGCTCTTTGCTAGCCACGAATAGTTGCTCTCTGCCATGTGCCACTCTGCCTTGGAGCCAGCTGAGTATGGACTAAAATCTCCACTGACTGTGAGCTAAACAAACCTTTCCTTCCTTCATTTTGGGTATCAGGTATTTTGTCCCAGCAATGTGAGAATAGTGACTGAGACACCAGCACAAAATCCTGCCAGTAGCAGGCACTTTGGAGGGGCTAGAACCCTTCAGGCAGCAAGTGTCAGTAGGGTTGCTTTCTAGCCAGATCATGTCGCCAAGTTACTTGCCCTCCTCCTGCCTCATGTCCTCACCTGCAATTTGTGAATGATGTTGACCATGATGACAGCGCTTCTCCAAGGATGTTGGAGTGAGTTATATGTATCCCAATCCTGGAGAACACACAATTTAGTACATAAGCATAGTTGTCAGCTATATTGTCCTGTATTTATTTTCTCTGCTCCTTGAGTTATTGTTCTAAAAAGTGCACATGGAAGGCAGTTCAAGTAGACATGTGTGGGAGAAGGGAGACTTTTCTTGTCAGTAGGATTCAGTGTCTTGTATGTATTTCTTCATACAGAAATTCACTGAGTACACTGGGTCTGCCCAGTTCTGGGCTGTGGCCAAAGGGCCAGAACAGGGAGGGCAGGAACCACAGGTATAGCTCCTGATGGAATAGTGGCTTAACACCAGCAGAGTAGGATTGAGTGGCATTTTCCCTGCTTCATGAATGAGCAAATGAAATAATCCTGCTGACGAATAACCTCTCCCACAACTCAGAGAATGAATAGGAACAGCTGTAGCAGGACCCCAAACACAGGGCTGAGTTCTTGGCTCTGCTGAACTGTCAGCTCCATGGAGGCAGAGGGAGAGACAGACAGGTAGGCAGGCAGAGATGTCCACATGTCCCATGGTGCCTTGAGACCCCCTGATGTGAGTTGCACACTGTGCATCCCGAGGGTTAACTCTTTGTGATGATCTGGTTAAGCTGATCATCATCCTTGCACAGCATCCTTGCACAGCACTTCCTTAAAATTGTTGATTGATAATCCACACACACACACACACACACACACACACACACACACACACCACTTTCTTTATAGTTAGAAAACCCAGCAAATAAGAAGGGTCATATTTCTCTACTAAATTTTGAAATAACGGCTGTTATGATTATTTTGGTGCCAAAGATTGAACCCAAGACCTTGTGTATGCTAATTGTGTGCTTTAACATTTAGTCAGTTTACTTCACATAACAGGCAGGGAGAAAGAAAACGACCAACAGGAAGCCCTAATGCCTGTCTTTGGTCTCAGGCTTGTGTTTCTTTATCTTCCTATAGCTCCAGAAGTTCTTGCCCAGAAACCCTACAGCAAAGCCGTTGACTGCTGGTCCATCGGGGTGATTGCCTACATCTTGTAAGTAAAGCTTGTCTCTTGATTTCTCTGAACCCACCTTTTTTATTGTGGCAAAATATACCCAAGACAAAAATTATTATTTCAACCATTTTAGGTGCACAATTCAATGGCATTAAGTATATTCATGACAGTGTACCATCATCACAGTATCCATTTCTGAGAGCTTTTTATCATCTCAAATGGAAACTTTATACCTATTAACCATAATCTCCTCTTCTCTCCATTCCTGTTCCCCTCTGTCTACTTTGTCTCTTGACCCTGACTACCCCAGCTACTTTGCATAAGTGGAATCAGGCACTAAATGTCCTTTTGTGACTCTCCTATTTGGCATAATCCCCTCAAAAGATCATTTGTGTCAGAATCCTCTTCCTTTATAAGGCCAATACTGCGTTCATTGCATGTATATACCAGACTGGGTTTATCCGTTCATCTGTCAGTGGACTTATGAGTTGTTTCCACTTTGTGGCAATTAATTACATAACTATTAAGAATAATGCTGTTATAAACATAGATATATAAATATCTGTTGGAATCTCTGCTTTCAGTTCTTTGGGTTATATAAATTTCAGGATAGAATTGCTGGATAATATGATAATTCTGTGTTAACTTTTGAAGAATCACTAGCAGTTTCTATAGCAACAGCTCAAATTCACATTCCTATAGTAATGCTCAAGGTTCCTATTTGCCTACATACATGCCAAAACTTACATTTTCCAATCTTTGGTAATACCCATGCTGGTGAATAGGAACTGATACTTCATTTTGGTTTTGGAGAGCATTTCCCTAATAGCTTATAACATTGAGAATCTATTTATGTCTCACCTCAGCTTGGGGCAGGGGAATAATCACTATGAAAATATTAGGAGATCTTTAAAATAAATCATAATTGGGAAAAATATTATGAAAATAAAATTTTAAATGTTTCTTTTTGAGATTCTCATTTCTTCTCAGATACCTTATCTCCTAACTCAGGAAAGGGGGTCCCAGGCCATAGATTTATTGTAACTGTTTCCAAATAATTAATTGTTTCTTGTTACTTTTTTGCCTGAAGCTATTTTTAATTGCAATTTCTTTTTGCAGTTATGAGGAGTGTTGTACCAACTAGCCCTGTGATGGTTAGGAATCATGAATTCCCTCCTCCTCAACCTCAAGCCAGGGAACATCCTCTGGCAAACAAAGCCATCCTTGCACACAAAGAAAAATGATCAGGGACTGTGAGAAAGTTCCCACAATATGTGGCATCCTCATCTTCTCCAAGAGTGCTGGCAGCGATCCCCCATATCGCTTGTACTTCATTATCTGGCAAACAAATGGTCCTTCTACAGCAACATTCAACTGGGCATCTTTTGTAATTTAATGTAGATTTAGGTGACAGCTCCTGTAGATTCTTGCCATTATTACAGGGGACTTTATCCATTATAATGTACTTGGCCTGGAGGGCTCCCACTTACAGAAATAGGTAAAAGGCAGATTCCTCTGAGATCTAAGACTGACACTGTGGTTGTGTAGTACTTTTGCTTTCAAAACATATCAACACTTCCTGCATCAGTTTCACCCTTTTGTGGAGGAAATGGATTATAGACCCTTCTGAGAATCTAATGGAAGTTGTAAACCCTGTGTCCTAATAAAATTCCTCACATGCACACAGTTTGTCATGCCATTTTAGGGGCATTCCTGCATAAGCAGATACTGGACATAGGCCCTGTGTTTTTCACCCTGGCTTCCTAAATCTTCAACTGAAATTCTAATCAGAGGTCTTGCCTCTTGCAGCTTGGTTTAAGGGGTTTTTGTTTGTTTGTTTGTTTTCCCAAGGACCAAAGCTAGTGTTAATCATTCAGAGTAATTTTCCCTAGGACTAGGGGGAAATCACACCTGTTCTGGCCTTCTGGTTGGTTATTGTTTGAGCCTGGAGCAACCTCAACTCTAGTCTGCACTAATGTGTGCACAATCACTTTGGATTTATGTAATACAGTTATTGCCCTGAAGTCTAGTTGTGAGGGAGGCCAATGGTACAACCATAGGAGGTGCACAGTAAGTGATTATTCCTTCAGTTCCTAGGTTAAGCAGTTTAAAACTAACAATGTGTTATCCTCAGGCTGCTCTAACAAAATACTATACAGTGGGTGATTTGAACAATAGGCATTTCTGACTCACATTCTGGGGGCCGGGAAGTTCAAGACACCAACATGTTTAGTTCCCGCTCAGGGTCTCCATCCTGGCTTACCAACAGCTGCCTTCTTGCTGTCCTTCCTTGAAAAATAGTCAAACTCTCTAGCATCTTTTTTAACCCAGTCATGGCAGAAAAAAAATGGGGCTGTCATGATGGATACTAACTCATTGCCCCCTTTTATCTTCAGCACCTATAGCAATGCCTGAAATAGAGGAAGTTCTCTGGAAAAGCTGGCTGTTGACACTGAGGGTGATGAAGTTGAGGATGGTAGTCAGTGTACACATCTAACTTCAGGAGCTCATGGATGAAGAACAGGGGTATTCAGGTGAAGGGAGGACCGCAGAAGGTCTGACTTGATGTTTTGATAAGCCTAACATAAGCAAGGAAGAGAGAAGGACCATCCACCCTGCAGAGGGATGAAGCCCAGGGCAGAGGTGCCACAGCACCTTGAGGGTTAATGAAGATTCTGTGGTCTGGGCTGGTATGGATGGCACAATGGAAGAACTCACAGGTCTCGGGCTCTGGTTACTTCCCATGATCCTCCATGCCTGCTTACCCATCTTCATCTATTATAGACAGTCAACCTGCCAGGAAAGACAGCTACCCAGGGGAAAGCAGCAGGCTCCTCCTTCTTCCCTCCCTCCACTGAATGGAAAAGAGGTTATGATTTTTGGAAAGCAGTGCTATTATTTTCATTTGCTAAGCCTGTCACACTGAGATACCAGCAAAGGTGGCCCAGACAGACCACAGCATCAAAGCTTCTCCTCTCCATGCACCATGGAATCACTTCTCATTGCCAGTAAGGATACTCATTAAATTGACTATTTTATCTTCTACTTTCATCTTTCTGTTTTCCATCATTGGAAGGAGAAATCATTTTTCCTATCAAGGCTTTGAATTTTTTAATGCACCCTCATCCTGCCAGGGATCTTCCTTTGGGAATTAGGATTTGCAAGCTACATTTTTTTTCCCATGTAGCTCAAACTACCAGCAAAGAGAGAGGGTTTTTGAATATGTTGAAATCTAGTGCCTGGTCCTCACTCAGCCAAGCCAGCATTAGGTTCTAAGGAATGGAGTTCTCCACTTGAGAAGTGGCTCATGGGCTCGGGGACCAAACTTTTTGTGATAATAAGTTCTGCCTTCCTGCTCACAGCTTCAAGGAGATCAGTTAATGACCATTGCCCCAAATTAAGCTTATGGATGTAAAATGTTCAGAGAAACACGCTGACTTTTTGATAATGGTGAAACTGAGAAATATCCTAAGGAGGTCCTCTTTTCTACACCGAAGCAGGCAGGTGAGAAGCTGATCAAGCACTAGTAGACATGGCTGTGACCTCTGACCTCTGCCCAGAAGAAGCTCTGGATGACATACATGTGATAATGACAATACCCTTAGGTTTTCACTGCTTTCCTACATTGTTCACTGTTTCAATGGCATAATGTTGATTTGCCTGTGTACGCAGCTTAATTAGCTTTTGGACTAAAGACTGCCTAATCTGCATGCTGAGTCTTTTGAGACAAATATGATCCAAGCCTGTCCTTTTCCCACTGAACACTTGACAGCTGGCTCTTTATGAAATACATATGTTCCAGAGAGGGACCATGACACCCAGCATCTGCAGAAGAGCTCAGGGCCATCACTGAGCCCCAGCCCCAAGCCTGGAGTATTGCAGCGTAGTGCACCCTCCACGGAGCATTCCAAGAGCAGGAGCCTTTGCCGCTCTGCCAGCAGCCAGCAGCCAGCGATCACCCTGTGCCCCCAGGAGGTCTGCAGGGTGGGGCAGTCCCCTGGACCATAGACTGGGCTTTAGGTTTCAAAATGTAGAAGCTAAACTAAATCTATTTATTCATCTTGCTCAGATGATCCACACTATCCAGACTCCAAGGAGACTTTTAAAAACCAGAGTGTCTGTTTACTAAATCACAGTAAGATTCATGTCTGTGAGATAACTGAATATGTGAGCCAATGAACAGCCAGTTTTGTCCCCTGTAGGAAATGCTCCTGGAGGATCCAGCTCGAATAAAAAGTTCTCTTTGTAGACATGGCACTGGAGTTGGGTGGCCTCAGATGTGCTCAGAAAGCGCATCTTGTACTAGTCTCCAGCTTGCCCTTTGCAGCTAAAGGAGGTTTTTGTCCGACAGCGAGGCTCTTCCTCTTTGTGCTCTGGGTAACCATGACTGGTCCTTCTTCCTCCACACCTCCTCTCCACAGCTTCAAAGCCTGACTGCCAGCCACTGGACACCCCTCCCATCCTTCTAGTATTTCTTTCTCTAGTTCAGTGTGGACTGTTTACTGCAATTCTCAGATTGGTGATTTGGGTTCCTTGGTTGCATTTCAGTTTGGCTGCTTCCAAGAGATTTTTCAGAAAGATCCACTGCTCCCCTTTGTCCTCTGTAGTAGTGGGTTCTGTAGACACAAAATGCCATCTGCAGTTTTAAGTCCCTGTAGTTTTAGCCTCAAACACAAGTCCTGCTTGACCATATTCCAGCTTTATTATTATTTTTATTATTTTGGTGGAACTGGGGATTGAACTCAGGCCCCTACACTTGCCAGGGAAGTGCTTATTCCACTGAGCCATCTCCTGACTCCATATTCCAGCTTTATTGTAGAGCCTGTGGCCCTCTCTTTCTGCTTCAGGGAAATGACTCCGTGAATTGTGTGTCATACCCTCAAAATATCCTGGTTTCAAAGAATGAGAGCTAGTTATGTGCAGCAGTGAGGGGCTCATGTGACAACAAGGCAGTTAAGGGACACAAACTTTGCATTTTATAAGATGGTGGGAGCAACTCCTGCCAGTGACTTCAGACAGGGTGGTGTCTATTGATACCT